GTTGAGCCCAGCAGTCCCCAGATGATTATAATATGTACCAGAACTAGGCCATTCACAGAGAAAAGGTCTTGGTATATTGATATCTCAAAGCTATTTTTGTTTTTTAAATTCAAATAGAATGAAAGAACAAGGGAACAACTGCAGCTGTCAGAAGCAACAGATACATCTCTGACAGAACGGTTAAAGTATCTAGAACGGCTGATCCAGAGTTTAAGAGAAGATGAAGTTGCATCTGAGCTCCATCTCTCTGCACTGTTGGACATGGTGGATATTTAAATAGCCTTACCTGAGGGGAGGCTTATCTGCAGAAGAATTTCTTTTACTCAAAATTATGTTATTCTCAGAAGCTTGATGCACTGTTAGAAATGTAGTTATTAATCATGCTGGTAAACCATTTGAATCTCTAATGAGATCCCGTACTGTCTTCAGAATGAAAAGCTGTTTCCCATTGTGACATCTTTGATATTCTTATCTGTTTCATGATCTCTTCAGGCTGTCATTCTTGTATCATTCAGCACAAGCTCTGAGGGAGTTTGTAGCTTATATTTCCATGTGTAATGTGATTAATTCTCTCAGCTGTCTGTATCTGATGTGCCTATTTCATTGAGAGGCCCTGCCTGCCAGGCCCATCCAACTCACATTAAGCCAGTAGATACACACACACACACACACACACACACACGCAGAGCTATCTTAACAATGTGCATTGACATGTATTCATGGATTGGAAGCAGGTAAAAAGTGAAAGAGTGTACCTTAGGATGTGATGAAAGACCAGAGGCACCGTTTGTTGTGTGGCCCAGTGAGAGGCCAGTAAGGTCAAACCATATTCTGAGTGCTTTGAAAACTAGTTGTTGGAGGACATTAGGTAGAAAAGTGACATAGTGATATTTTTTCTTAAAAATGGCAGGTAGCAGACCACATGAGGCAGTAATCTTGAAAGGGGAGTGTTGCAGCCATCTAAGTCGAAGAAGAGTGTAAACCTGAATTTGTTATCAGTTGGTATGGAGAGGAGATGAATTTGAGCCATATACAGAACAATATAAGTAGACTTTGGTAATGTTGAGTATGATCATTGATCCTCAATTAGCAGCATCTGATTACAGTCCTACACCCTCCAAATTCTCCAAGACTATTTCACGTCTTCTAGTTCTCTTCAAACCTCCATTATTAGATAATGGCCTCTCTGCCTATTTTATTGAGACAGAAGCCCTAAGAAGAGGACTTCTTCATCCCATCACCACCACCAAATCCACCAGCCAGTCCCTTTTTCCCTAAAACACTGCCCTTCTAGGAATTTCTCTAGTAATTCATTTCATATTTATTAATAAGGACTTAATGTGTTTCTTTCTTTTTCTTGTCTTTCTTTTTTTGGAGACAGTGTCAAGCTGGCCTCCAACTTATGGCAGTTCTGCCTCAGCCTCCTCAGTGCTGGGATTATAAGCATGCACCAACAGGTGTGGCTCTTACTTGCACTCTTGTTCATATTCACATGTGTATGTGTGCACACATGCATGCACATGTGCTAGCTAGAGATTGAACCCATGGCTTTCTTACTAAGCTACATACATCCCTAGCCCTTTGTTATTTTTTTGAGATGGGGTCTTACCAAGTCACTAAATTGGGTAAGCTGGGCTTGAACTTTTGATCCTCCTAGGATCCCCTCCTGGGATTACAGGCATATGATATCACATTCGGCTTTAATACCATTTCTTGATCTTGATTTTAGACCTTGATTTTTCTACAAGTGAGGGGTTAGGTCTCACAAATCTTCCTACAAAATTTATCATCCCCACATATATACCGTATATTATGTTAATTTAATATGTTGGTTGCAATCCTGTATGCTTGTTATGTTTACCATTGGCTGTTGAGTCCTGTATTAGTTTTTACTTCTTTTAGGTACAATTTTTAACTTTTCTTAGAGTTAATAATTGTCATTTCTTAAAATCTGCGTGGTTTTGTGTTCCTGTCACTACTTCCTAAAACTCAGCCCTAACCATAAATCTTTCTACATAGTCATGCCCACATAAGATAAAGTGCTCAGCTCAAGCTCTGTTTTCTGGCCACAGCTTGGACATTTGGATACTGCATCATATCTTCCCTGGTTTGCTTTCTTATTTTGATGGAGCTCATGGTCATGCTTATGCTTCAATATCTAAAATGTTTGTATTTGTACCCTTACGTTTGATTAATCATTTGAATAGAAACAGCATTTTAGATTGGAAATCATTTGCTTGTGTTTTTGTTTGCTTGTTTCTTAAAAATTTTAAGATCAATTTCTGTTCTCAGATCTCTCAACCGCATACAGCATACCCATATGCTGACCTCACCTCCTTTCCAATTTAATGTGCTGGGCATTTAGTAGTGCTTTTCTTTTCTTCTAATAACCTGTCCTATGGCTCAGGCTGGTGACGGGACTTTGAGAAACATATTGGAAGCTCTGCTGGGCAGTTTGGTAGCTCTTAGGTTTCTCTGCTTTTCTACTAGGTTTTGTTATTTTTTTTGGACGAGGGATCAAACTCGGGGCCTTGCTCTTGCAAGGCAGGCAGCAGAACCACAGCCAAATCCCTGGCCTCTACTAGATCTTAGCTGCCAGCTTTTGTCAGTCTTGTAGGCAGGCTAGTGCTTCAAAGGAATCCTCTCACAACTACTTCAAGCTATCTGGCTGAGGGAAAAGCAGGACTGGATTTCCACACAAGTATAGATGTTACCTCATTGCCTCTGGTTTCAGTGGTTTCAACTATGCTTCAAGCCCAAGTTCTCACTCCATGTTCTTTTTTTCTTTTTGTTGAGTTTATTGGTACATTCTAGGTATACAGTACAGTTACATTGATTACTGGGATCTTGTACCTTTACAGGACAGGTCTTGGTTCTCATTGTTTTCCTTGTCCCTGCCCTCCCTTCACCCCCTCCTCCCCTCCTCCTACAAACACTTTATTTCCATTTTCTCATATTTTTTTTCTTTTCCTTTATTCCCTTTCCCCTACCCTTCCCACTTTCCCTACACCTTTAGCCCTTTTCTTCCTATTTCACCTTGTTAATTATCCCATTAGGATCTTGTGTACTATTATAGCTTTTCACACCAGAGAAACTATTCGGTATTTACACATGTGACTTACTTATTTCACTTAGGAGTATATCCTCAAAATGTATCCATTTTCCTATGAATGACTCTAATTTCTCATTCTTATGGCTGGGTAGTATTCCATTTTATAGAAAAACCACATCTTTTATATAAAAGCAGTTTCCAACTGATGGGCAAATGGGCTGTTTCCATGTTTTAGCTATTACAAACTGTGCTGCTATAAGCATAGGTGCACATATGTCACTGTGATATGATTCTTTTAATTCTTTTGGAAAGATACCCAGCAGAGCTATGGCTGGGTCAAATGGAAACTCTAGTCCCAGCTCTTTGAGGTATCACTCCATGTTTTTTAGTTTACCTCCTGTCTGACTACTAATCCTGTAAATTAGAAAAGTATGGGGCTCTAAGGCACATTCTAGAACTTGATTTCCTAGGTGATCTTTTTTTCAATCATGACTTCAAATACCACTTGAAAAACATGATTCCTAAATTTCTCTCTGTAGCCCTGTCCTCTGTTCTGAATGCCATTCTGCTGAACATTTCTACTTCAGTGTCCAATGAACATCACTGTTAAAACATGGTTCCATAAATGACACCACTGTATACCTACCTGTTCAGGCCAAAACTCTCAAAGCTTCTGTATTGTGACTTGGTAGGGTATAAGGTGAGAGAATTTTTTTTCCCCGATTGTCTAGGAATTTATTACTGAAGTCTCATCGGATTTACGTTTTTCTAAATATATTGAGAACTATTTTACTCAGTTCTATTATTTTACCAGTCCAGTAAAGTATCAACCTGAGCCCCTCCCAGTTGAAACGTCACCCCCATCTAGCTCCTCCCCCATGTAGCTCTGCCAGACTCAGTATCTGAGATGAAGGAGCCCCTTATTCCCACTCTTTACCTTTCTACTCAGAGGGGCTTCACCTTGTTTCCAGAAGAATGGAGTGACTTACTCCATTAGTCAATTTGGAGGAACAGACATGGTCTCGGGTGCTCGGGCTCCTCTGCCTGCCTTTCCAGTGGTCTCCACATGGGCACTCAGCTGGCCCAGAGGCTGGGAGACGTTTCTCGGTTTTAGGTATGAAAAATTTACCAGACCTTTAAGCTTGTCCTCCCAACCGTTTATTTGTGGCAGTTATTTCCATCTTCTCCCATTTTACTGCTGTCTTTCTTCACTCTCTCCGAGCTGTGACAGGAGAGTCCACGCCTGACACCGTGGCGGAGGCGTGTAACTTGCCCTGCGTCACTCCTGTAGCGCAGGCCCGAGAGCGCAGCGAGGCAGAACTCAGGGCTGGGTGCTGAGCGCTACCTGGAGAGAGCAGGTGGGATGGGGACCCGGGCTCGGCCTGGACCCCGCCGCCCGCGGCGTACCCCGCCCTACTCCCCTCCAGGCCGCGACAGACTCTCTGGACTCCGGCCCCGCTACACCAAGGTTCTGCCCCCGACTCCGCCCCTGGGCCGTCCTCGCCGCGTGGAGTGTCGAGCGCTGGACCACTGCCGTAGCGGGGCGCGCCCTGGGATTCCCTAGAGGCGCTCTGATTGGCCGCGAGAGCGTCGGCCCATTGGGTTGGGCGCGTCCGTCGAGGTGCGCGCCTGCGCAGTTTGAGGAGCGGCTCTTCAAGTCGTCG